GCTGTTTCTAAATAGAAAATTCTTTAAATTTAACCAAAACAGAGTGATAGGAGATCTTTAAGAGATCTTAATCCCAACTTATTGCACATCGGTGTAAGAAAGACAGATGTAACACCTATATGTCACAAAACCACTGCGTTGAGGGTCTCTGAAGGGTGCAAGCCACAAAAAGTTACTGTCGAACAAGTTTTCTCAATAATGAGAACATGGTGCTCTATCCATTCACAGCAGGAAAGTTTAGTAGTTTAGTGCTTCTTTCTGTATCTCTGCTTCTGTCTCCCTGAACCCCAGTTGGCCTCGGTAGATGGCTGCCCACACCGAGTCTGGTTGGAGGTTTCTTCCTGTTAAAAGGTAGTTTTTCTCTCCACAGTCGCTACATACATGCTTGGTGTGAGGGATTGCAGAGAGTCAATGAGTGGATGCAATCAGCTGGTTTTCATCAGATAGAAAACTTTGAACCAATCTGCCTGTATGATCTGTTTTAATCGCCTCTGTAAAATACTTTGAGATGAAATTAGTTGTGAATTAGCGCTATATAAATAAAATGAATAGAAAAGTAGAGAAAGGCCAAAGCAACAGGAATGACTGCAGATTATGTAGAAGTGTGGAGGAGATTCACAAAGTGTGGAATGAGGCTGTAGTTAGAGTTCCAAAGGCCAACACACATAAGAATATCCAGCAATCTATCTAAATCACTTTAATAAGCTTCTCCTAAAACACAAAGTCTTAACTGTGCTATATATATTGGACTATATATATTGATGAAAAACTTTTTTGTTGTCTAGTAATTGACATTTTTTCCTTCTACTCAATTTTCCATTGATATCCTGGAAGAAAACAATCTGTGAGCGGCCGGCTTGTTCAGCAATGATCTTCAGTGGCTTAACCTTTAGATGGAGGATTTCAGTAACCTTTTTCTGGACCCTATCATGGACATAAGAGTTTGTGTTTTCATTAGCTGTCCAGCATTATGAAAACTTTTAGAAATGAATATAATAAATGCAAAACATCTGGAAAGGGTTCCGTCCGCAGCAGTTTTTCCACATTTAGTTATCTTACAGCCTTATTCCCAATGGTATTCAATAATCTCTTGTCAAATATTGCATGCAGAGCTCCTCTTTATGATAATGGGTTTTTTTTCTATTCATAATCTTGCAAAAGTTATTAAGCATAGAAAAAATAATGAAAATTAATGAAATATTGATAGCCTTTGCCATGAAGCTCCAAAGTGAAATCCCAGAGTTCCTCTATGGAGAGAGAAGATTGTTCCAGAAGGAAAGCAATACATCAGTCAGGTATGGCAGACTGTGAGGAACCTGTAGAACTCTCATAATATGAACAATCTTCTCTGATCTAATGAGACAAATATCAAACCCTTTAATATGAATACCAGGTTTTATCTTTGAAGAAAACCAGGGGATTTGGTGTCCCTACAGCGAAGCATGGTGGTGGCAGTATCATGAAATTATCCGATTATCCCCAGAGAGAAATCCTGGATGGTAATCTACTCAAGAGGAGAGACCTTAGAACCACTCAGACCTTTCAGCTGGTCACAGACGTCTCCCATCCAGCCTGATGGAGCTTGATATGCTCAGAATGAAGGAAACGGCCTAAAGGTGATAAACTTAGGCTGTAATCGCTGTGAATCTATAAAGCATTAAGCAAAGATTTTGAATACTGATGTAAAAGTGTGTTCTTAGTTTTCTGTCAGTTATTAATTTCTGCACTGTTATAACAATAGATTGTCTGTAAAGCGACTGATTCAATAAACTTTGGAATAAAATGAGTAAATGTGGGAAAAAACAGCAGTGCTGGGATACTTTTTGGATGCTCTGCATCACTTTATGTGTCATTTGTATCATGTTGTGTAGATTTTAAATTGAGTTAGTGAAGCTTTTAAACAGTGCTCCAATTAATTGAGAACTGCTTGTCAGATAGAGTAAGAGTAAAATCATGAATCTGCAGCTTCTGTTTGAATCAAGAACGAAGTTTCAGAATATCTAAATTTGGCATCACAGCATAGATCCTAAATAGCAAGTGACGTTTCGAGCATCTCTCTTCCCTTTATCTACTTCTGCTAGTACGATAAATTACACTGAATGGTGAAAGGATGAAACATTGAGGTTAACTACTGCTCTCTCTTCAGGATCCATTAAATCAAAATAAAAACACATTCAAAGCCTCTCTGGGTAAACGCTCTTACTTTCTGGACCTGCTTCATTCATGCTCCAGAGTTCGACATCTGGACGAGGCAGCGGATCAGTCAGTCCGTCATCGTGGCGCTGATTCTGTGAAGAGCCAGTGGGTCTGGTTTCCTCTGTGTGGGGCTCGTCTGTCAATGAGACAGGAAGTAGCTGAGAACCCCCCCCCCCGCCCTGTGAAGGATGCATCAGTGCACCACTGGGTTAACACCTCCAGCCCAAGCTGCAAAACTAGAACACAAACACATGCTTTGAACTGGTTTCATACACAAAAAAAAAAAAAAAAGGAGGCGGAGGATCATAATCTAAAAGTGAAACATGTCTTTATTGAACATTTCCATAAAACAGATTTACAGGAGCATCTTAAAAGCTACAATTCCATCCAAGGAGACGAGACAAGCATCTTTGAAGCTTTGCATCGAAACCCCTCAGCAGCAGATAAAGATCAATATTTAAAACCTGCTGCAGCTTCGGTTCTCTATCATCACACCAAATATTCTACACTGGTTGATATATATGAGGCCTCTGCAGAGGAGCATGTGACTAATGCCTGGGGTGATAAACAAGACCTGCTATGTCTATTATTGGCTGCTTTTCTTTTTAGTCCAAAAACCTCCCAAAAATCACTTTTATTCACTTCCTGAATTCTTCCGTTTTCTTATATCAAACTAAAGCCGCCCAAACATTCAGAAGCTGATAGGATATGTCAGAAATACAAATGATATCCCACCACATGTACATTCTTCTTTGGTGGATGTTTCTTTTGTTTTTCTGATCTAGTGTAGTTGAACAATCAAAGTGGAAGGCATCAAAACAACATTCAGATAAGCAGTAAAGTGTACCTTCAAAATAAAAGCTTACAGCCGTAACATGAAGACAAAATATATGAAGTAAATTGACAGAGGAGGGATTATTTTCTCTTAGAGGAGAAAACGATGTCACTTTGGGTTGTTTACTGTAAAATTATACAGAAAAATAAAGATACAGATGTGGAAATATTTGTTTAAAACCCTGTTTAAAATTCCACAAAAAAAGAAAATATTGCAACAGTGTCTAACAAAAATAAATAGAGGCACAATTATCAGCAGAATATACAACTCCCTTTTAAATGTATGCAACAAGATTTTTATACCAATTATATATATATATAATGATATATTTTTTACAGTTTTAGGTTGACCTGAGTTATTAGGAACAATTGATTGATGATCAATAACTTAATAACTTCAATAATAGCAGCAAAGAATGGCATCTGGAGACACCAGCTATATGCCTGCTGGATGTTTGAAAAAGAAAACGGGAAAAAAAAATAATAATTTCTGTCCTAGGTATGGAAAAATGCAAACTACGCACTTTGCTTAGATGAAAACAACAGCAATGCAGAAAAGTTTCTCTCACAATAACCACTGGTATGTATGGTAGAATATCTGTGATGCTGTGGGCTAGTTTTATTTCAAACTTTTCCAAATAGTGTGAGATTTTCACTCAAAATCGGATGGAATCTGACAGAAAAATTAAAAAGGAATGAAATTTTGACCAAAAAAAAAAAAAACACAAAACAGTTCAAACCAGCATTAGCAGGGAGGCTAATAATTGTGCCACTAGTGTTTTTTGTTCAAAACAATCATTTCTGAACGTATTACGTAATTATTTACCAGCTGATTCAATTTACTGACATTCAAGGTTTGCTAAAGTTCTTCAGGGTAAGATGAAGCGACAGCAGTGAAAGATTTTTACAGATCTCCACTAGTGGAGGACGAAGTATCAGTTTCTATAAATGATTAGATTGACTGTACAGATACTGCAGCTGATGCACCGCTTTAAACAAGTCCTATACGAAGGTTTAAAGACCGAATACAGATCTGATGAGCTTGAATTAAAATAACAGTTGTTGTAATACATTGTTCTTTAAATTAAATAAATCAACCATAGTCCTCATGAATTAAACCACAAATTAACAAAAAAAACACTTAAAAGAAAAAGAAAAACAGCATTTAACTCACAGCTACTGTCATCTTATATATTTCAAACATTCAAGAGTATATTTCCAGTTTGGACTCACTTCAGTGATCAAGATTTTAAATTCATCAGCATTTTTTTAAGTGTTAAACAACAGGATCAACCAAAAATCACATTTTAATAAATTCCTTTAATTTCCCACATATTCTCCAGCTAATCCTAGTCCCCTTCTATCAGATAGCTCCAGTTTAGCCCCCATCTAAAGTGTAAACAAAAAAAGTCAAATCAAGCTACACACACACAAATGACAAATAATTTAGTGTTTATATACATAAAAATAAAAAAACAAAGGCCAACGTTTTGAGGTTGAAATGGTTAGAGCTCATGTTTCCCTAAAAGTCCTAGAAGGTCGATTGTGATGGGACGGTACCGTCGTCAGCGGTTACGCCGTGCTACGTGAGGAATATACAAAGTGCAATGCATCTCTCTGACCTGAAACTGGCTACACAGACTTTACCTGCAAGGAAAAAAAAGAAAATATTTAAAAAACAAAAGTGTGGTGTTCTTCAAAGGAGAGTGGAGACAGAGCGAACAGGATGAGACTGAACTGCTACGGGTTTAAAACACGAGGCGTTCAGGTGCAGACGTTGTTCTCTCTGGTTCAGCAGCATGCTCCTAAATGTGGACGAAACTATTCAGTATTCTGGTCGACGGCGGCGGATTGTACAGCGGTAGCAGCGGTAGTGACATCAAGTTTTTTGTATTCTTTTAAGTGTTCCTTAAAATAGAATAAAATCAAATGAGGCTGCTGCTCAAACCGAGGTAAGCAGACCCTTTCTCTCTGTCCCACCTCTAGGCTGCGTGTCTAACCAATCAGGGAGTTGCGTCTGGTTAGGTCCACGTTGCTGGCGCTTAGCCCCCTGCTGTCTGAGAGGCCGGAGTTGGCATCCTGGATTTAAAAAGAGAAAAAAGTGATTTCTGTTATCCTGCATGTTGACCGAGACGAGAGGAGAAAAGAGGGAGGAGGGATCCTGGGTAACAGCAGCCAATCAAAACCTATTTTTAGCACCCTGTTTAGACAGATTACCTCAGTTTGCATCCATCTACTCTTAAAGAAAAACAGTAAAACCTCCAGGATTCAGAGGAAATATGTTTTAAAGCATCTTACTTTCACTCCTCTTCCTGTAGTTTATTTAGAAACGCCCCGTCATGGGGTTAAAGGTCAACAATCTGCTTCCAGATCCTCTACCACTGAGCCGCTCGCTCTCACCATCAATCCTTTAAAGGGGAAGTTTTTTTTTACATTGGCCCCTTGATTTTACATTATTACATCATGTTCTATTCACCCATATGAGTTTTGTGTCATTTGGAGCTGTTCTGAAAATATTCCATTAGGTTATATTCAGGTAACGTCTTCCTATGGGCAACGACTTGAAGGCACAAACTAAACTGTTCATAATTTATCATTTATGGTACGCCAACATTCATAACATGTAGGCAAATCACTGTCCCCCAGACATCCACGGTTATATCTTTTTTAAAAAAAAGCGGCGCGTGTATGACGTCATCCGTGCGCCGCTACCATTCCTTCATCCTGTCCACTGAACTGCTGCTAGTTTTACTCATATGCCTCTAGTGCTACTACCACAGAGGATCTCGCTCTCCAAATGGAATTGAACGATTCAGATTAGCTAGCCAAATAAATCGGGGTAGAGCGTCGCTGCCTGGTGTAATGAACATTGGTTAAATAAAGTTTTTTTTTTTGAAAAAAAAAAAAAAAACTCCAGTCGGACGTGCGGATGTCATACACACGCCACTCTGTTTTTAAAAGATATAAATATCAAAAATATAACCGCAGATGTCTGGGGGACAGTGAGTCGCCTACATGTTATGAATGCTGGCGTACCATAAAGAACAAATCATGAGCAGTTTAGTTTGTGCCTTTAACTCATTGCCCATAGGAAGACGTTACTTGGATATAACCAAACGGAATATCTTCAGTACAGCTCCAAATGACACACAACTCATTAGGGTGAGTAGAACATGATGTAATAACGTAAAATCAAGGAACCAATGTAAAAAAAAACAAAGTTCCCCTTTAATATCACAGGGTGGTTTTAATAAATCCTGCGTGAAAGGAAGCTGATCAGGACCAAAACATTACCGGTTCCTAAAAACACCTTTAATAATTAAATTTAATATTATAAATGTTTTCCCATGCTTTCATTTTCTTTCTCCATACCTTAAAAGTCCTTTATATAATTTTACCGTATTTTCCACACTATAAGGCGCACTTAAAAGCCTTCTTAAAGTGACAGTGCGCCTTATAATCCAGATCAATTTAGACAGGGATTGATTCTGGTTGCTTACTGAGCTCAAAGCGATTTGGTGTGGTACACGCCTTTCTGTCAAAATGTTTTAGTCTGACTTTGGTCAACTACAAAGACAAAACACTGCAGCTTCGTTCTTCACCAGATTATTACAGTGTGTTTTAGGACGCCACAATGGCACCTGGCAAATGGCGGCGCTTACTGCACAGACTTCAAACTCAAGTCTAAGCAGTAAAATATGGAAATAGAGAATTTAACATTAATGTAGTGCGCCTTATAGTACAGAAAATACGGTAGCCCTGCCCAGACTGTAGGAACCCTGGCAAAAAAACATCTTTACCTGTGTGGTTTCCTCGTTGCTCTTGTTCAGGAAGTTCAGGGAGCTCGCTCTTTTCATTCTGTGCAAAAAAAACAACAAAATAAAACAAAGTGTCACTGTGTGGAAAAAGAGAAACTTCTTTATGTGTAGGAGCTGAACACCAGTCACATCCAGAAATAACGACTCCAAATCCCAGCTCCAAACATACTGTACTAAACTAATGACCTTGTATCATAAAAATAATCCTCTCACACCATAGAGAGGCTTAGATAGAGCTCCAAACCAATGGCTCACCATCTTTGCTTGAATCCATGACTAATGTACTGAGTCTATCTGAGTCAAGCAGCTGCTGCTTTATAACTCCTCTCAGCCCTGATTAAACAGCAAACAGGCCAGCTTACATTAAAAAAACATGTAGTTAGTTTTTTTTCTCTTCTTGAAAACTTGCAGGATCCTGTTCCCATCACTGCAAAACACTGAAATCTCAATAAGTCATATTTTTCTTAAAATAACTAAATTTGTTCTTGAATTGAGGAGGTGAGACATTTTGCAAATGGAACGAAACTATTTAGATTTAAAATAAGAAAAAAAAACTATTGCATTGTCTTATTTCAAGTGCATATTATCTAATTATCTTACTTTTAGTGTAAAAATACTCATTACATTTGCAGATCATCTTATTAATCATATCAAATTAAGGATAAATACACTTAATTTCAGACATTTTTGCTCATGTGTAGGTCATTTTTGCAGTGTACATTCAGACAAGTTCAGTCTGCAGGCCCAAAACGATGCAGCAGGAGGTTCTGAAGGGAGAGACTTTAAAACGGAAACTAAAATCATTTTCTTACATCCATGAATAATAAAGCTCCATCTATCAGTAGAGCTCAGATTTATGTCTCCTGACAAAAAATACTGCTCAAAGAAATCTCAAGAGATAAATGAAATAATAAAAAGTGATTGTATCTATTTGCCCATGAACGATATAAAAACATTCTGTGCATAAAAAAAGTCTTCCAGCATAATTAGTTCATTCGTTCAATCAATTCGTAGGTTGATATTTTTGAAAGTGGAAAAAAAAAACGACACTTTTATTAATGCTGAGGAACAGGTTGATGTTTCAACAAATGATGATAAATGATCTAACTTGGCACTAGCTAGATTGATATGAGTTTGGTTCTATGTTATCGACCTGGGATGGCTGCTGGTCAGTCTGAAATGCTACGTTCACACCTAAAGGAGCAAAGGCAGCAGGAGCAGCTAGTTTACATGCAAAGTCAATGGTTGATGTGCATCAAGGCGCAGCAAACGCAGCTGCTGCTGGAGTTGGGAAAATTTAACTTTTGCTGCTCGAGGCGCCGCATCAACCAATCACAGAAGCTGATCTGGGAGCTGGCAGGGAGACAGACACAGCACTGCTGATGCAGATCGCTATGATCACTCCTCTGAAACAGTTTATTAATGCCTAAATTAACCTAAAATGCCGAAATCTGCCAGCAAAACATGTTCGCTTTTATTATCCTAGTGCCTGCAGTTTGGATTACGTACATTAAAAACGCCTTCTAGCCGAGAAGAGGTGGATCAACTCGCTGGTTGTTACAAGACGGACATATTAGTGAGTTTTCAAGATGGATTTATTGTGAGACTGAAAACTCAGATCTAGCAACAATCCAGCTTGCAGCAAAAGGTTGTAAATGATCACAACCAAAAAGAATTATTCAATAAAAGTATTTACTTATTTTAGACCACTGAATGGGTATTAATGATGTATTAACCATTTCTTTTACATGCGTGTGATTTTTCTAAAAACAAACATTCAAAAATTAGTTTTTTTACCCTGGGTTTCTGGGTACCTGATTATTTTTGTTTGTTTTTTTACCCTGAGTTTCGGAGTTCCTGATTGTTTATTTTGTTTTTTTACCCTGGGTTTCGGGGTTTCTGATTGTTTTTTTTTAATGTTTTTTTACCCTGGGTGTCGGGGTTTCTGATTGTTTTTTATGTTTTTTTTTACCCTGGGTTTCGGGGTTCCTGATTGTTTTTTTTTTTACCCTGGGTTTCGGGGTTCCTGAGGTCCGCTGCCCTGCAGCTTCTTCACCAGCATCTCACTGCTCCTCCTCAGAGCATCACGGATCTTTCCAAAGGAGCCGCTGCGACGCAGAGACCCGTTTCCTTCCTAAAAACAGAGCGAGGAAATTACCAATGAGGTACAAAAATAAAAAAAAAAGAAAAAGACCTCTCCATCGTCAGCATATGAACAGCAGGGAGCCAGGAAGTTACCCCGTTCCACTCGGCAGCGTCGTCGCCCTCGCCGTCTCCTCGTCCCCCTGGTCCGTCTCTGCTATGCCGCCTGTTGGCCCCTCCCCCTGGTCCGTCCTTCAGCAGCTCCACCACCTTACTCTGATTTATGGCATCAATTCCCTAAAAAAAAGATAAGGAGCGGATAATAGAAAACACAAAGAGCACAACACACACCCTGCAGACAATGTTGAACTGCTTTGGACCAGAGGGATTAAAACACAAAGCTGCTGCCTGATTATAAATCTTGGCTCATTTTAGGAGATTATAAATCTAAGCTAAAATGCCTTCTGAACTAATCAGGTGATGTAACTTTGGTGCAGAGCCCCCACAGCTAATCTAACAGCAGTAACTCACACAGCACCAGGGCTTTTTTTTAAAAAGTGTTGAACCTGTTTGCGTGACTTGCTGGCACACTCCTCAAGCGTCTCTGCTGCCTCCAGCTTCCCCTGGCGACGGTACAACGCTCCCAAGCTTTTCAGGGTCGTGTTCACAGTGGGACTAGATGGACCAAAAGGAGCAGAATCAGTCAGGATTGTGTCCTATAGAGCTTAAAGCCAATAAATTATCTGTGGTTCTGAAGAACCACAGAAATGGTCTAAAATTCAACCATTAATAATATGCCACTTTCAACTGATTAAAAAGAAGCAATGACTGTAAAATCAAAATTGAGATAAGTCAATTAAAAAAGTGGGTATGTTCTTGAATATAGGAGGTAAAAGAGACATTTTACCAATAGAACAAGAAAATTTACATTTACATTGTCTTATTTCAAGAGCATTTTATCTAAATATCTTAATATTAATATCTTGTTTCTCCTTAAATTGAGCAGTTAAATATGATTATCTGCAAATTAAATGAGTATCTTTGACCTTAAAATAGATAATTAGATATTATACACTTGAATAAAATATTAAGTTGTATTTTCTTATTCTAAAAGGTAAAGAATTTTATTCTATAGGCAAGTGATTGTATTTATCTGCTGAAATCAGGGAGAAATATACTTATTTTAAGGGAAATCGGCTTACTTAGATTTAAATATTTGCAGTGTTTACTGATTTTTCCTTCATGTACCAGAAACATGGAGATTACCTGTCCACCTTGCAGGCCTTGTACCAGCTGCCATATTCCACATACGGCCCAGAGTCCTTCTGTTTACTCTAATTCAGGCAGGAAGAGGCAGACAGAGAGGGATGAAAATTAGTTCAGTAGGTGTAAAACAAGAGCCTGGTAAGACTACAGGAAGTGAAAACGTCTCCATTGACCTTTTCAGTCCATTTGCTAATGTAGTGGCAGGTGAATAAAACTTTAATAACTGACCTTGCTCTCTTCCCTCTCCTCTGCATGCATCCAGATGGGCTTGTTATCATCTAGAAAATGAGACGGAAAATGAAATCATAAAACATTCCTGACCTTTCTGTTTGACTTTTAATAAATAATACTAATTATAACATCAAATATCTACAGAAGAGAATTAGGGCCACTGAAAAAATAAAAAAAGTTAACTGTTTTTTAAATTTTATTTTGTTTTAATATGGGAAAAAAAGTCAGAATTCTGACTTTTTCCCATATTAAACTGAAATAAAATTTAAAAATCATTTAACTTTTTTTTTTTTCCAGTGGCCCTAATCCTCTTCCGTACATATCTCTTGATACACATAACACAATAATAAAATACTGGTGAAAAGTATGAGAAATGTGGTTAAAATCCCCCGAAAAAAGATCTTCCAGACGAATATTGCGTGATTTCTTTGTTCTCTATCACGCCATTTAAAGTGACCCTCGGCTTGTAAACTGACTGCTGCTACAGGGGCTGTAAACAGGCATCTGTGAAGAATTGCACGTCAGATAACTTTCAATCGCTATCAGAGAGAGCCGAGGAAGGTCAGCTGTCATCAAATAGCAGACAAAGCAGCAGATTCTCAGTCATTGTCATTCCAAAAAAGTAAAAAAAAAGTCCACTGGACTTTGTTTCCAAGTTTGAAGACGTTTCCCTTCCCATCTATGAAGCTTTTTCAATTCAAAATGTCAGCAATAACATTGAGTTCGAAGTTTTACATAGTAGGACAGCTTCAACCATGGTTAACATCAGTCTGCTGCACATTCCCAACTGGTTGATCAGTCCAAAGTCCAGTCTCTGCTGGGATTTTTTTTTTTTTTTTTTTTTTTTTTTTTTTTACACACAGCAACTATAGCGGCTATCCTCTTCAATCCAGAAAAGTAGTGCAAAAGATGTCGGCTGACTCAGTATTCCTGCAACCATGCAGGATGCGCAGTTTTACTTGATTAAAGCTACCTGAACTGTTTCTGAACGATGTAGGAACAACGAATGACGGCAGACCTCCGTCTTTGTGCCTCTTCCTATCGACTTTTCACTCTCTAATCCTAGCAAAAAACAGACGCTCATCTGGGTCATAATAATTCCTTTTTTCCAATATTAACATGGTTTTCTTCCACACAGACTTTAAAAGCTGGGCGGTATCATCATCTGACCAGTAGAGGGCGATGCAGCAATGATTACAGGGTTGTGGCATAAAGAAAAACCCGGCGGACGCGGTTAGCTCCTGTCTGAGCCGCTCCACTGACGGCTTTACTCACTGTTGACAGATCCAAACTCCTTCTCATGAGCTCTGGTCAGGATCTCTTTGTACAGAGCCTCTGCATCTTTAAACTTGCCCTGCTTCAGGTAGCATGTGGCCTAAAAGAACAACAGCATAAATCAGAGTTTAAAGATATGACTTTTCACAAAAAGAAGTGCAATAAAGTGGGTCCAAATGTGACTAAGAGGTAGTAGAGAAAGCAGACGGTGGGTTCCCACCAGGTTATTTTTGGTCCTGGCTACACTGGGGTCATCGGCTCCCAGTTTGGACTCAAAGATCTCCAGGGCCCGTTTGTAGTAGTACTCCACCTCGTCGTACTTGGCCTGGTTCAGGCACAGCAGGGCCAGGTTGTTCAGCTGCTTGGCTACATCCGGATGAGATCTGCCCAGCACCTGAGGGCAGAAAGGAGACGGCCTCATGAGCGTTTGGGAGACGGATTTGCAAAAATGCTTTGCATTTGGCTTTTCATTCAAATGCGGTGGTTTCCGTTGGCGCTGGGGGCCTCTCACCTTCTCCCTGATCCCCAGGGCCCTCTTGCAGAGGGGCTCGGCCTCTTTGTATTTGCCCCTCTTGCCGAACAGCACAGCCAGGTTGTTGAGGGTTGCAGCCACAGCTGGGTGGTCCTTGCCCAGGGTTTTCTCTCTGATAGCTAGGGCGTCATTCAGAAGGTGAGTTGCTTCTTTATATTTGTTTTGGTCCCTGGAAACACAAAAAAGCCCCAGAGTAGTAAAAAAAAAAAAATCTTCATTAGTATTGACCGTGTTAGAGAAGACAGCGCCTCACCTGTACACCAAGGCCAGGATGTTGAGCATGGTGGCCACGTCGGGGTGGTCGTGTCCGGACGACTTCTCCAGATCCTCCAAGGCCTGCTTGCAGAGAGGCACGGCCACTTCGTACCGGCCCTGGGAGGCGTACTGGATCACCAGGTTGTGCAGCGTCCTGAGACGATTGGGGACCTCGTAGCCCCCCTGCTGGGCTGCTGCCTCCCCACTGGGCTGGGCTGAAACAGACCCATCACACAGAGTCACATCACTTCCCTATAGGCCCAGAAATCACAAGGCAATGAATAAAACAGGAAAGCCTGGTGTTGGTTTAGTTTTTAGTGATTCAATCTGTGTCTTCCAGTAGTTAAAACCCTTGTTAGACTGTCCTGTAGTTATAGGGTTAAAGTTCAGTATGAGTAATTAATGGTAAAATTTTCTGGTCTAAAAGAAACAGCTGGAGCAAAGGTGACACAAAAGAAAAGATGTTAAGTAAACTTTTTTTAGACGATTCTTAAAGCATTTCTTTGAAGACATAGAGTTTTTAAACATTTAGGGAATAAAATAAAATAGCTTAAATTTGCAAAAACCCTGAGCAATGTAAAGGAACATCTACTGGCATCAACTGAAACTCTTTTTAATCTGTTGCTCAATTTTACTGCCCGTCACACTTAAATAGGATCTCTGTTTACATATAAAGACTTAAAAAAAATAAAATCATAGTTTTCATGTCATTTCATTAAAAAGAAAATTTGCTTTTCTTAAAATAGAGCAATACAAAAGAAACATGAGGTGTTTAGTTTCAGTGGCTGCTTCATCTAAGGACCCGGGCTGCCTGGACTGGGTCCTTTGAGGTCCATGAAAATGAGGAGGCCGGAAGAGTTTTGGCTTTGGATTCAGACTGGTCCAGCCTTCTACGGCTTTCACCGCCCATACGCTCTGTCACCTAGCAACCATAACACTTGACGCCAAAAACAGGTAGTTCTGAGTGCTAATAATATTGTAGAGGAGCTTCAGCAGCAGTACTGATGTCTCAGATATCAGATTTATAGTCCCCAAACAGAGATATATTAGAATCTGTGCCTAAATATCAGCAGGAACAGATAAAACATTATCTGCCGCATATCCGACTCAATAAATATTTAAAACAACTATTTTCAATAATTTCAGAATGAACTACTCAAATACTTGGATTAATATAAAGTGCACTTACAATATTAACCACTGTTTGGCCTTTTTCCTCTGAGCACAGAGCAGCCTGCTTGCTTTGACTCGCAATGAACCATGGGATACCCACGGCTACTTAGGATACACCAGATCTGCCCTTCAAAACGGGCAAAATGAAGGCTGCATTTGTCGGCCGCATAACGAGGAGTCTTCCAATTAAAAGGCCTCGGTGCCACACTATGACCTAATCAGCAAACAAAGCTGGCCTTTGGAGGACGCAGCTGCTGAATTCGAACTCGGCAATGTTCCTTGTTGCTCAAAAGGAGCCAACCAATCAGCTTCTTCGACTGGCTGAGCCTTGGAAATCACAGTTTTTTGCTCTCTGACCTGTTTTAACCTTTGATTCATTAAAAAGCTGTTTTATTCACTTCCTGCTTTTCCAAATCACCTGTTTTTTTGTTTACATGAACATTTCTTTTTAAATAAAACCATTAACATGTTCACCAAAATATTACTGGACTTTACTGATTTGTATGTATAGTTATGGGTCAGACCTTTAGGTTAAATGTTAACACCTTTTTAGGATTGCTATGGATAAGATTTAAAACCTATGCAAATTATGAAATAAAATGTTTATAAGGGATTAGTTTTTCTAAATACCTCACCCGTAACTCATGAAATTAAATACGACATCCTATATTTTTATTGATTTGCTGCAGTAGTGTAAAAGATGAACTAGTGGTTCTTAGTCCTCTTCCTGCTCGGCACGCCTCATTTCAATGATTACATCACTTCCTGCATGTTATCAAGAGCTGCAAAAACCTCAAGTCAGGCGCTCAATAGCAAGGAAACACCCATATACCGCTTTAACAAAACTATTTTAACAAAATATGAAATGAAAACCTACAAAGGAAGGTAAATTTGAGATGTAACTAAATGCACTGCAAGAAAAATATTAACTAAGTTAGTCAATTTTGTCTTAAAATAAGTGTTTTTTTTAAATGAGGTAAGTGAGACACTTTGCTAAAGGAAGAAGACGTTGAAATAAAAAAAAAACTTATTTTAAATGCATATCTGAATCTGAATTTAAGGGCAAAAATATTAGCAGATCATCTTGTTAAACAGTAAATACACTTATTTA